AAAATGGATATACCAGCTTTAACTAATGCAGCTGCAATATGATCTTGCGTTGATAATGGATTACAACAACTCCATCGAATCTATAAAATAAGAATTAAATATAAACATTAAATAAGATAAAAAGATGACTTACTTCAGCCCCCAATTCACGTAATGTTTCAATCATCACTCCTGTTTGTGCTGTCACATGTAAACATCCAGCAAGACGAACACCTTTCAATGGTTTTGTAGGACCATATATTTTTCGTAATCGCATTACTCCTGGCATTTCAAATTCAGCCATTGATAAGGCTTTTCTACCTGCTTCTGCTAGTTTGATATCAGCAATTTTGTATGGAAGTCTTTCCATAACGCCAGGAAAAGATAGATCTTCTTTTTCTTCGTCAAATAAGTGGTGTACTCCTTTATCATCTGTATCACCGCCAAATAAATAATATTTTCTTATAAAATTATATTTTTCATCAGACTTACCAACATTTTGTTCACTGAATTGGCGACAAAAAGGTCTTCCTTTAGACGGAATTGATATTAATGATGTTTGTATATTATCCGATTCTTCTTGTTGTTGTTGTATTTGTTCTTGACTTAAACTATCACATCGACCGAACAGTGATGTATTTTGTATTTCTAGAAATCCACAAAATAATATTTAATTTTTCTCAAAGACAAGTAAGAACAAACCTGAAAAATGTGATCGACCAGTTTTATCCATATGCGAATTGATAAATAGCTAACTGCACTGTAATAATAAATGGTTTGTATTGACTTATAACTTCTCTTGGTTCTTTTTGTATAATGTAGAAATTCTGAAAATTTATCCGACCTTTTATAGGCATATTAGTACTTGAGTTGGATAAAACACTAGAACTCTAAATGAAGAAGTGACGCATACCAAGTCAATAATAATAACTATAAAACATGTATCGACGATTTCTTTTATTGCTTTGTTTCTATATCTTTTATGCCATTAATCCATCAACATTTCTTATATTTGACATAGAAAGTAAGTACGTCATTGGCTGTTCTGCAATAAAAAATGACGTGAACATATATCACAATACAAGGCAAAGTTTTACAGAAAAGAAAGCAGTATCAATAAATATATTCGATGAAAACAGATAAAGGTAAAAGTCTAAAATCGTTAAAATCGACAAATATAAGGTCCATAATTTAGTTTTTTTTTTGTAATAAAATCGTGATATACTATTTAGACAATATATCTTTCGACGAATTTCAATCCAAATTCAGAAGTATTTTATCTATTTCTCGTAGTATATATTTAATACATTGAATTTCATTTTTTTTTCTCTTTTTGAGTTATAAATAAAAATGATTGATACAACAACATCTATGAAAAAGAAAACTCCTCATTTAATTCGAAAATGGTCCGGTGTTATATGGCTTCTGATTGAAGTGAATTTATTTGGTGGTACAATATTTGGATTTCCAGCTTTATTTCAAATTTTACCTCAATATAACATTTATGGTGAAAACAATGATTGTTCATCATCATCAAACACAATAGAAAGTGAAGAATCGTCTTGTGAAAGATATCAAACACGACATTATCAAGTATGTCCGCATGTCACATCAATCATAAATTTTGATCTATGTATTTGTTATTGATTTTAGAATGCATTAACATTAGGTATTATTTTATTTGAAATTCCATCATTAATTATTGGTCCAATGATCGATCGATTTGGATGTCGATTTGTTAAATTAATTTCAATGTAAATATTATCTATTACTCTTGTTTATTGTTATATTCTATTTTCGTTAGAATTTTTCATATTGTCGGATGGTTAGCATTAGCGTTCGTTTCACCTGGTAAGTGTGTACATGTTTGTAGAAATATTTTTATTTTTTGTTTTCTAGGACGAGATTCATTGTTATATGTTCATACAGCCTTTTCATCCTTGAGTGGTGTTATGGTATTACTAACAGCTTATTCATCAAGTGGCTATTTTACAAAATCAAGAGCATTTGTATCGGCCTTATTCGCTGGAGCGTGTACATCAGCTACAATGTGGTATTCAATATTTCAAGTATGTTGCAACGTCTTTTCTCTTCAAAAAGAGAAAGTTGAATTTGATTCAATATATTTTTGTATCAAATTATTCTAGGTTTTAATTGATGCAAGAAAGGTCTCGTTACAACAACTATCTTACATATGGTTGTCATTTGGTGTATTACTATTAATCAGTTCGTTTCTATATCTTGATTGGACATTCCCTATTTTAAATTTACCTTATCAATTTGATACGAAATTAGAAGAGAAAAATGTGTCCTCAAATAGTGTTATAGATAGATCAATTAGTGAAATAGATAGAATGAAATGGTATACACGAATTTTGAAACGAAAAGGTGTTTGGTATTATTTAACAAGTCCATTATATATATTGGTGGTATTATTTTTAAGTATTCTATTACTACCAGGAATATTTCTTTCTGTAACATGGTATCCATGGGTGTATTATATCACACAACAAAATACAATATTGAGTAAGTTATCAATTTTTCCACTACGTGATCATCTAATATCTGATGTTTATTTTCTTTTAGGTAATAAATATACATTTGCATATAACTTATCTACCATTGCTGCTATTGCTATTTGTCCATTGAACGGTTTTCTACTTGGATTTAAAGCTGATAAAAGTAAAATATCAATTTTTTTTCTCTAAAATTAAAACATTGATTGTCTTTATGTTCAGGTAAAAGAAACAAATTATTTAATATTTCATTAATGCAAACTATATCATGGCTTCTCAATATTGTCGCATGTATTGTATGTATGTTTGTTCGAACAAGTGTGATTATTCCAGCATTGGTAATTAATTGTATTGGACGAGCAACAATTGTGGGTGGAAGTCAAGCAGTAGTAGCAACCTTGTAAGTAGTTATCATTATCAGAAATAAGTTCTTACATTTCTTTATATCTATTTCAGTTTTCCATCTGAATATATTGGTACATTAACTGGCGTAATGTGGACATTAGTTGGTGTTGTTGCTACTATTCAATATGGTTTAGTTCAATTAACGGATGGTATAACACGTTCATGGAGAGTAAGTCGTTATGATGTTGTTTATCAGTATTTTAGAAAAAGATTTCTTTTATTTTCAGGCGTGG